ATCCTGGTCCCGTTTCGGGAAGCAAGCTCGACGTGTGGCCAAAAATAAATTTAACACGAACGGACAAACACTAGGAACGTCACTGGCAGATTCAGCAGGGAAATATACCGTTAGCGTGTTGCCCACGAATAGTTCGAGGCGATAGATCGAGCGAGCCTGATTTTTTTCTGCCAGGCTTGCTGCTCACCTACTTCGAGAGACCGCGCTCCGCTGTTTACGGCCTCGTCTCATTGGTCTACACCGGCGGGCCTTTCTTCTTTTTTAGATTATTAGACTGTTTTTATTAGTTGATTGGTATTTCGTCGCCTTTGCGTGTCCTTTCGTTCTTCGAACGATTTCGATTCTTTCTCGCTGGTTTTCGTGAGACGTTCGTCCCACGTTGATTAGAGTTATAAAGTTTCCATTTTTGGAATATTTTAGTATTTATGTGTAACGCTGCTCACCGCTGACTGAATCGCACACCTACATATATGTTTAATTCTCAAGAACTTTTACAAGCAATATTTTAGGCATATAAAAATAGGATTTGAGAGAATCAGGATGGAGATCTTTATTGGATAATAATACTCTATTGAAAGCAATTAGAGGATTACTTTGATCTCTATCTTGCGTGTATATTTTTTAATGACCGTTTTAACGAAGTTAATCTTTATCATAGTATCGCGTACGTCGATTTATCAGATCTACGAGACTTCACTTCAGTTTTGTTCAGCTGTTGCGAATGAAACCGTTTGCAGCAGCAGTCATTTCAAACAGCCAAGGATATATTTCAGAAATATCACTCTACAAGCAGACAGAAATTCTCCATGATACCGCAACAATTATCGTTCGAATAACGAAACTCTAGAAAGAAGATAACTACAACAATATATACTTCTTAATGAAAATAAGTTAAAGAGTTTGAACGTTTGAGCTCGTTACGTCTCCCCCCGTTCGAATAATTTGGCCACTGTTCCCGGAATGGAATTAATTTGAATTAAACGATAGTTATATTGTTTCAAAATGATAATTCGCTCGTGGGTAATGCCGTTTGGGGATGAGACCGACAGTCTCGCAGGATATAGTACCCCTCATGTGAACGTGGAACGATGCCTGGAAACGCATCCAGGGGAAGCCTGAGGAAGTATATTTGAATTCGTTACGCGTACTTTGAAAAGTAATAGTATTACTCATAAGCGGTGAGCTGGGAAGAGGATTTCTCTTCTGACACACAGCAACAATGGGTCGGTTTATTCATCATCTCTCCCTCCCCCCCCCTCCGTACGATATTCCCCCAATTCACTTTTGCCGCGAGCAACTTCAACCGTGACAATTTATTACTTGGAACTTGGAATCCTCGCAAGGAACGCGGAATATTAATCCATCGGGAAATACATATTCTGCCGTTCATTAGGCTTTAACCTGTGCTTCCACATGTCGTTACCACACTATTCCATTTACTTGCCTGAAATTGACAGGTTTCGAGAAACAACGTTGAACTGCACAATGTTGTCAGTCAGTCAACTGACAAATGTCAAGTGACATTCGGTACAATTTTCGGTTCTAATAATTGACGCGTTAGAAGGAGTTTGGAAACGATAATTGATTTTATCACTGACAATGAAACAGTTCCTTTGTACACGATCGAAGAAACATTCAACCGTTTGAAAGGTTTAAATGAAAAGTGTGAAAGAAAAGGATGTCGGAGCAGTTGGTGAATCGATGGTTTCATAGGCGATACGGGATCAGCAGCGATGAATAGGTGATAATTGAAACGGTGGACGGAGCAAGAAGCGGCTGACCATCGCATCAGGGTCAGCCTGATGCAACGAGGAAACGAAACGAAAGAAGAAGAAACGGACGATGACGGTTGCATAATCCCGATTTCAATCCTGCTCGGCCGCCGTTGTCTCGGGGTCAGCGTGCTTCTCTCGAAGAAAATCACTTTCCTTCCCATAGCATACGGCGTACACGGTATGCTATGCATATATGTATGCAACTACATACATTGCGTGTACACGCAGCCACGTACATACATCTAGCTGCTCGTTCGCGCATGTACGAGGGAGCGAGCGCGCGTGCACCGATTCCTTCCTTCCTCCCGCGGTCGCGGCTCTTCCTGGTTTCTCAGCTCGTTACGAACGAACCGACAAATTATCGAGGCTGCCTGCACGAGCCGCGCGGACGCAGAGCAGAAGGGAAGACGAAAGAGGAACGACAGCGTGAAATCTCGGATGCGCCAGTAACGCA